GGAGGTTGGGGGTCGGGCGGCGCCGGGAGCGAGGGAGAAGGTGGGGGCAGGGCAACGCCGAGATCAGGGGAGGAGATGTGGGGGACGGGCGGCGCCGGGAGCCGGGAAGGAGGTCGGGGGCTGGCGGCGCCGGGCGGCGGCGAAGGGATTTGGAGGGCGGCGGCGGGCGAACGAGGGCAGAGAGTCGGGCGACTGTTTCTCGCTCGAGGGCACGATACCTCGGTCGTACATGCGGGAGTTTGCTCGGCGATTTTTTTCCGCTGGTTAATCTTTGCCGGTTTGTTTTCGCCGGTCTATGATCCGTGGTTTATTTTCGATCCTTTCAGTTAATAACGACGGGAGTTTGGGCGTGTGCGGGACTCGATCGCGGGGTTTTCCTTGGTTTTTCGCGGTTAAGGGGAAGGTGGAAGGAAGTATCAAAGAAGTAACAAAAATACCGAATGAGGTGGGATGAAAATTAAACGTGGAACGCAACCTACCAATTGAGACATTAAGAGTAGAGATAGGAGTAGAGATACGTTTTCCTCTATCAGAAACGGGAAACCAAACCCCCGAAGGACAATCAATCCCCTCCTCCGTTCCACCCCAATGGCGTCGCCGGCGATGCCCTTCCCCGACGCCCCTCCGACGGCGCCCTGCCCCGATTCCCCGGCGTCGCCGCCCTGCAGCCCCGACGCCTCGCCGTCCATGGAGGCGCAGGCGACCCTCCCGGACCACCTGACGGAGGACATCCTGCTCCGCCTCACCACGGCCGCCGACCTCGCCCGCGCCTCCATGGCCGGCCCCTCCCTCCGCCGCATCGTCGCTGACCACACCTTCCTCCGTCGCTTCCGCACCCTCCACCCGCCGCCTCTCCTGGGTATACTCTCGGACCCCTTCCTCCCAGCTCAGCCGCCCCACCCGTCCGCCGCCGCCGCCGGAACCCTCCTTATTCAAGATGTGCTGCCAGCAGCTTTGATCAATGCAGTGACAAGGACCCTAACCCTTGTTCAAAAAAGAATGCATCCATTTGTTGACGAATTGCGTCATGTCCCCTCCTTATGTTTGGCAGATGCAGCTTTTTTCTCATTAGACACATGGATGTAGATGCATCCACTTGTTTGGATTACAACACAAATATAATCTATGATGACAACTTATAATGTATCATCTCCACTTACAACTGAAACTGCGCACTACTATTACTCTTTTGGATGGAATGCATCACTGGAAACACCGGTACAGACTGCTAGGATTCAGCATTGTGTAAGCAATTCAGTTAACTAGACTAGCTTTGCCGCCCATCTTGGCAGGACAAGGGTTCCCCAACGACCTGATATTGTAGCGCCTCTCCAGCCTCAACCTGTTGGGGTTGGTCGACATGCCGCTCCTGGCCCATCAACCACCCCATGTGGAGGTGGAGGTACCCTGTATCAACATGATCAAGCCTTGATGACAAACTCACAGAACATAAATAGCCTTAATGATCAAGCCTATCATGCCATGACTTGCATAATAAATTCAGAAAGAGGGAAATGGTCAGTTTAACATGTTATAAGCTCTCATGGAGTACAATCACCAGGTCAGTGATCACAGCAGTACACCCAAGAAAGTGAGCATGCACTAACCTTGGTCCAGTAACACAAGAATTATCAGCAGGCTGCTCCTGTTCTGCCAAACATTGCTCTGCCAAATATTGCTCAGCCTTACATCTGACTTAACCATGCATGGCTTATTGTCAGATGGCAGCAGACTATGAGACAAACTTCCTTTTTTTTTCTAGTATAAATACTTATTATTACTAAAAATAACTGCACATACATATATGCATTGTCACTATACAACCTCGGTGATTGGAGAATCGAATTAAGATTACAAGATACTGTGTCTGTCAGCCACTGGTAGTATACAGGTCCTTGCTCAGTTTCTCCGTGTATTAGCGCGACGACATTCCCACTTGTTCTTATAGCTCTTGATGGCAGGGGGGGGTGTGTTAGTCAGCAAAATGCCTATAAGGCTATATAACTAACTGTTTTGCTATGAGGCCCACATGATCTCGACTCCAACCGCCATGATGAATGTGGACGCATCCACCCATGTATGGTGGGCCTTGTATCTTCATGTCAGATGTTTCTTCCAAAGTAATCAAGCGTCAAAAGGATCCATCCACTCATCGTCTTCCCTTACGGCTTTTTCCCACCGTTCTTTGAACTTTTCCAGCTCCGCCGACGACTGTCTTCTAATCTGTTGATTCAAATAAGAGTGCAATTGATGTTAGAAAATATGCAGGAGAAACATATTGATTTAGGTTTAGAGGGAAGAGAGCATATGTTATACTCACGTGTGTCCGCAAATCCAAAGATCTTCGAGGTAACTGGAGCAAGAAAGGAAATTGTTGATCAGATGATAACAATGGTAGTTATCTTGCAGGCATGGAGAAATCAAGGCTAGAAGGTTGGCCGTCGAGTTAGATATCTGAAGCGATACCCCATTACCATATTAAAAGATTCAATCTGTGTGTTAGTTGGATTTAGATTTTGTAACCTTAGAGATGATTCCAGAAACAAGAGACATTTTCTCTCTCTGTAATTTCATTTCAAATCACATTGTGACCAAAAAAATATATGGCATTTTATAAAAAATATGACGACAAACAGACCTTGCTGGTATCTGATGGTCCTCCTAATGATGGTATCCCTTGATGGACGACATACTCACTGTCAATTACACCGACCTTCTCAGCTCGATCACCCTGAAATCACATAGCACTACATGCATCAGTATTTTTGGTCATTTATCATTCTAACAAACCCATGCCTATTAAAGCATTCCTCTTAATCTACAGATGATAGTTGAAACACCAGAAATAATTAAGCTGCAAAGTGACAGAAGAACACATCGCAAAAAAAATAATGGAACAAAACAAGACAGAAGTCATTAGTACTATCAGCTAGAGTACTGAAAGCCATATTGTAATAGTTAGCCCATAAATTTGATCCTTATGTTAGAATATGTATAGCTAAATTTGATCCACAGGTGCCAAACACTGAAAATAGAGTAATCTTCCTAGAGTATACTAACAAGCTACACATTTATAATAAAAAATAGGCCAGCTCATAGAAGGAAGTGACATCTAGAATGGCGCACTTGAAATGCGAAAAAAGAAATGAAATAGGTTGTAAAGCTTGAATAGAGCAAACCGCCATGGGATTTGAGCAATCTTAAGTACCTGAGCACAGTAACCAAGCTTCATGTCAAGGCCCCATCCATGAATCAAGTCATTCTGCAGGTTTGAGACATTAAAACTGGGTGTGCTACGAAGAGTTATGACCCTCCAGTCACACTGAATAGATCATACGATATGATGGATTATCGAGTAGGTTAGATGGTCAGAATTCGTACCTGTATTAGATGCCATACACATTTCCAGGCAGCACGAGAAAAAACTGGTGCCATGCCCTCGACCCACCTATCAAAGAATGCCAGTTACAATACTAGTAATCAATCGAGCTAGTTTATGAGAACGAGATCAGCAGAATTTGCTCAACAATCAATCAGTTGGATGATGTAACTTTATTTTGCTGACCACACAAAAAAAAATGCCATTGAACAAAGCAGCATTTTGATTTTTGGTTCTACAATAGCTGTAAAAAACATTAATCGGTTCAAAGAATATGACCGTAACTCTGTAAGGTAACTGTCTTTTTCAATCACAGAAGAATAAAGTATAGCATAATTTAATACATATGAATCATTGGACATGCTAAATATGAGGTCTAGAGAATAAACTATGATGGCCAAGTATAGTTTAGAATAGCCAGAAAAATTACTATGCAAGGCCAAAGCTTCAATTTTTACCCTGTGCATGGAGGTCCTTTACTATCATCAGAACAGTTCATGCTTGAACGATTGTCATATACTCTCCTGCAGAAGAAATGAAGAATTAAAAATGTTAGCGAATGCTCATACAAAAATGATTAAAAAAACAATTCATATTCTTAGATGTGAGAACTAGAAAGACACAAGCACCTATGCACTTTTGTCATCTTGTTGCGGATTGTGATGCGGTGGTGAATATCTGTTGATAGATCAGGATCCAATGCAGGTTGCGTGATTTCTAAGCCTTCGGAAACCATTATATCAATATACCTAAACGGGCAACATGAAAAATGAAAAGGCATCTTTCAGCAGAAAATCCAACACAGCAGGATATATTTTCAACAGCAATGATGACCAAAGCAAGTCCATATCTACTCCAAGTATATTGTCAATCATCCCAGTAGGAGTTTCAAGCTGAATCCATACCACTGAAATGTGCAGAATAACAATTATATCTCGCAAACAAGATTGTACAGCTAGAGCGAAAGAAACTGAACCAGTGTCAAAATGGCTGCTTCATAACTACTCAGGCCATCACAAAAATTAGCATTTGCGAACTGAAAAAGAAGACGATTTCAACAAAATGAAAAAAAAAATATGGTGTGTCCCATACCTCCTCGGATCAAAATTTTCCACCCCAAGGTCTTCGTCCCATAAAAATATGAAATCGTAGATAGCCACAACACTAGGGTGCAGAAAACGCTTAGCAAACCACCTGCAATAGGAAGATACGCTCATTCCAAATGTGGATGATACATACCGAGGTAAAAGGGACAGCAAAGTATCTGCGCCTGGGGCTTACCATTTAGTTTGGTTGGGCGCAACTATGTGGATGGCCTTATCGCTCCACTCGAGGCTACGCCACCCATCCACGTTCCCGTCATAATGGAATAGCATGACCGTGTAGCTCTCATTCAGGAACTAAAACATTTGAAGCATGGTAGGGCGAGCATGGAATCAGAAGAGACAAAACCTTCCCTTACGAAACGACAAAAGCAGCTGGCGTTAAAGGAGGCGAACTCGAGAAGAAGAAGACGGACCTTACGAGCCATCACGTCCACATTCTGCATCTGCGAGATCCCGACCGCCATCGCCAGGAGAGCTTTGTGTCTATCATTCTTGTTCTGCAGGCAAGGGTGAGCAGTGGTACGCACGTATTAGTAACAGAACGGCCCAATGGGCTGGTCGCCCGCCAGGAAATCGCGACTGGAAACGCGGATCATATCCTAAAGATTCCTTAGATTACGCTGTAAGGACGCTGGTGTGTCTCCACTAGAGCAAAAGCTAGTGTGAAGTCTGTGGATACGGACCAGACAAGTGAACTGAACTGAACTGAACTGACAGAACCGAAGTGTACATACATCATTAACACTCACAGGCGCCTGCCTGCTGTAAGCACAGGATTCAGAGCATTGGGCAGCTTCACTAACCGGGTCGCCACACTAAAAGCTCGATTTGGCGTCGCCGTGAGAAATGAGCGCCGGCATAGCAAGGGGGACAGTTTCGGTCATTCATCCATTCAGCGTGTTTCAGCTGAGAGACACAACCGGTTTTCATTCATCCATTCATCCATTAAGTGTGGTTCAGTTTGAGCTAGGAGACCCAACCAAATTTCACTCATTCGTTCATCCATTCAGTGTGGTTCAGTTTGAGCTAAGAAGAGACCCAACCAATGCTATGACAGCAACTGTAGAAAGAGTAATTGACAGTGACAGTGAAGGTGGGGCGCCGAGGAGGAGGAGGGGCAGGAGCGGACGTACGTTGGGGATGGCGCGGTTGGCGGCGGGGTCCCAGAGCGGGCGGAGGAACATGTCGGAGCTGGTGTGGACGATCCCGCGCGGCAGGCCCTCGGCGCCGGTCCTCCGGTTCCAGTTCCCCTCCTCCCGGCGCCGCTGCTGCGTGGCCGTGGCCGCGGCGTAGTCGGACCTGCCGAGATCCACCTGACGGAGGAACAGAGACCGGCTCCAGTGTCAGTCAGTCAGGCAGTGATTCATTCAGGGCAGGGGAGCTAAAAATGGGAGGGGGAAGGGAAAGGTGGTGGTGCCTTGCCTTGAGGTGGTGGTGCTGGATCTGGAGCGAGGTGATGACGATGAGGGCGACGAAGGCGGCCAGGTAGCCGCAGCCGCAGGAGGCGGCCCGGCGCGGCGGGATGGGCGGGTACTTCATCCCTCCCGCCGCCGGCCGTCCCTTGGTGCCCCCGATGTTCGGGGCTCTGGAGTGGGCGGGGGGTGCTGGGGGAGGAGGAAGGTTCTGGAGGGTTCTAGAAGGAGGTGCGCCTAATCTAATGGCCCATTATTCCGAAATGGGCTTAAACAAATTGCGTCCTCGTACTCAACTACGCCCTTGGCTTTTTGGTCGGGTCGGTCGGCATCCCACCGCCTGCCTGCTAGCGGGTGAGTGGGTGGGTGGGTGGGTTTGTCGTGGCGGGCCCACCTGCCAGTGCCCCAGTCGGTGGCTAAAGTTGCCTAATTAATTAGGGAGGCCTTGATTAGCGCGAGATGGTGTCCCGTTTCATCAGTGGCAGTGAGCCGACGACGACTGCTTTTTGTGACGTGTCCCCTTAATGACGCGTCCTTGTTGGTTAGACACACTAATCTACCTCCTCCAGTGCACACAAAAAAGTTACATCCCATTCGCGGCCTCTTCTAAAACTTGAAGTCCACCTTCTTCCGTTTTGTCACCGTCTTCCAGGACGGCGGCGACACCCAGCTGCTGCCTTCCCCGCCCACCACCTTCCTCCTCACCTTCCCCTTGCCCTTGCCCTTGCTCTCCTCCCCCCAAAGCTCCCTGTACCTGTCCATCACAACCCCACTACGGTCACCAAGACGTACACAGGATTATGCCGCAGGATTGCGACGGCGAGAGACGCTGGTCTTATCTTACTTGGCCACCAGGGCGTCCTCTACGGCGTCTCCAGCTTCTGCTTCGTAACAGCAGCACCAGCGGCACGGGGAAAGGAAAGAAAGAGGAGGCATAAACGTCAGAACCTCAACTAACAAGTAGTGGCTGTCAGGCAAGCAACGGGTATTGACAACAGAGGATGAGGGAGGGAACTCCACTGCTAATGGGCTCACCCTTTTACTTTTAGGGCCTGATGATGATGTTGATGTTGATGTCGACGGTTTATCTTGCGCTCCCACCAGCACGTACCTGTGATTAAAGCGAGAGTGCGCGTGCATGCATGCGGCGTCTGACTTTTATGGGTTTCATTTCAAAAGCTAAGCGGGGATCCTCCCTTCTTTCTGCTCAAGAATCTTCACATGCAAGAAAGAAACAGCAAATTGACGATCATCAGCAACGACTAGCAAACCCACAGAGGGAGCACCTTGTTGATTATCAACACAACTTGATGATCAACAGCACTTTGCTTTCTCGGACACAGAGAGCACTTCACATCACCTGGTAAAATGGCTTTTCTGCCTGCTTCTCGGGCTCCTTCCTCCACGACTTCCCAAGGTCGATAACATCAGGTGTTTCCACACTGGCTGGAGTGCTGCTGTCACAGCCACAAGGACAAGTGAATACCAAGTGTTTACTGCAATATCTAATTGAAAAGAAAACTTAATATGGTAACTGACAACAGAAGAACACAGGCATAGATAAATTACCTTGACATGGTGCCAGACCGGATGCCTTCTACTATTTCCCCATCTTCCAGTTCCTCCTCCTCCTCTCCCGCTTGCCGAATGCCTTCTACTATTTCCTCCTCCTCCAGTTCCTCCTCCTCCTCTCCCGCTTGCCGAATGCCTTCTACTATTTCCCCCTCCTCCAGTTCCTCCTCCTCTTCTTCCTCTTGCAGAATGCCTTCCACTATTTCCCCATCTTCCAGCTCCTCCAACTCCTCTTGCCGAATACCTTGTACTATTTCCCCATGTTCCAGCCCCTCCTCTTCTGCTTGCCGAGTAGCTTCTTCTATTTCCCCATCTTCCAGTTCCTCCTCCTCCAACTCTTCCAGAGTGCCTTCTTCTACTTCCCCATCTTCTAGTTCCTCCTTCCTCTCTTCCTCTTCTAGAATGCATTCTTCTATTCCCCCATCTTCCAGTACCTCTTCCTCTTCTTCCTCTTCTAGAATGCCTTTTTCTAGTTTCCCATCTTCCAATTCCTCCTCTTCCTCTTCTTCTTCGTCCAGTTCTCCCCAGTGTTTGCTGCGATCAATAGGTTCTTCCTACATAATTGCATAAAGCAAATGTTACTTCTGCTCACTACTAACTCTATGTTTTAAATAGTGGGCTATGGCATTTAGCGACAACCCTTAAAAACAGCTATAGCTGGGCTATAGCGGCAAATTGTACATGAAATCGTTTAGCGGCAACATCCTCAAACAGCTATAGCAGAGCTATAGCGGGGCTATAGCCGGCTATTTAAAACTATGCTTCATTTACAAGGTTTATCGTGCTGAATCCAAAACCATTTTCTTATACTGGGTTGGGTGCCTAGGCTGTTGGCAACAAACAATAGCAGGTGTCCGAAGGAAGCATATTAGTAATTAGATAGTATAAAAAGTAACTTTTAAATAGATAAGTTACCTCGTCAGTTGGAGGCTTTCCCAACTCCCCAGGCCCATCACCAAAATTGCCGCCTGATGATGACGGTGTATCTTGCGCTCCAACCAGCACGTACCTGCAAAGTGAGCACATGTGGCGTGTGACTTTTCTGGTTGACAAACAAGACGGGGATCGGGGGAGGATTACTCAGTAGGTTTGGCCAGGGAAACATATGCGTGGCTCGACGCGAACAGCGCCCTATGAGTGATCCTTAGTTCTTTCTGTTCAAGAACCTTCAGAGGGAAGAAACAACATGTCGATGATTAACAGCAACGACTAGCCAAGCCAAGTAATGCTATAATAGAATCATTTGTTAATTATCGAAAAATGATGATTAATGCCACTTTGCTTTCTCGGACAGAGGGCAGCAGTTTACTTACCTGGTATAATGGCCTTTCTGCCTGGTTATCTGACTCCTTCCTCAGCTTCCGAAGCTCAATAACATCAGGTGCTTCCACACCAGCCGGAGTACTGTTACAGAAAGAAGGACAATTAGATACTAGGTGTCTACTGCACTATTTAATTCAAATAAAAGAACTGGTAACTGACGATAAAATAACTGGCAACAAGAGAACAGAAGTATAGAGAATTACCTTGAGACGGTGTCAATAGACCGAACACCTTCTTCTATTTCCTCATGAATAATTAGTTCCACCTCTTTTTCTTCCTCTTCATCCTCTTCTTCGTCCAAATCTCCCCAGTGTTTGCTGCGATTGAGAGGTTCTTCCTAGATAACCGCAGAAAGCAAATGTTAGTTCTGCTCACGAAGACCACAATACATTGCAACTAACTTTATTTACAAGGTTTGTCTTGCTGCAGGAATCCAAATAACTTTTTCATATACTGGGATATGATGCAAAGAAACAATAGCAGGTTTAGAAAGAAAGTGTATGAATAATTAAATGGTGTGAAAAGCAATTTTTTCACATAAGGTACCTTATCAGGTTCATCACCCAAACCTGGGATCTTCAGATAAGGATAAGAGGGTGGAGGACCAAAGAACTGGCGAAAAATGAATCGGGGTCAACTGGTTAATGATGAAAGCACTGTCAGTACGAACCAGACAAACATAGGTTAGAAAATACATACCTGCATCCTGGTAACCCATGGGGGCGGGGCACCATCAGGCATACCAAGAGCTTTTTTAAGCTCCTGGGACAGCATACCTGGTTTCATTACCTTAAGCTTCAGCTGTCGAATGTGTAAGTAGAACTTAGCATCAGAACCACTCATGGATGGTGTCTCCTGTTTTTTTCTGTGTAAATATTGAAGATTACGTACCTCAAACTCTTTCCCTTCATAATACAGATCACCATAACTAGTCAATGTGGGTTTTGTTTGATATTTGAAGAATGCATCATGCAAAACCTGTGGAAAACAAAACATTATTAGCCTTGAATGACACCATGGTACAAACTGATAACTGGACAAATCTAATATACTAAAGTTGCATCAAATATGATAATTCATCTGTGATCCTGGGCTCATCTGCTTATTAGTTGTGTAAGTTCCCACAACAATAGAATGGCACTCAGGGAGTTACTCTTATGGGTTCATGGAGGATTTAGGTTTGCATCAAAAAGAGGGCCTCAAATACAAACACGGCAAGAAAATTAGAGAAGGCACTGAACAGTAGCAATATATGTACTGATGGTTGTATCATGTATGGAAGAAAACAGAGGAAACGAAACCCACAAACTGCTTCATATTTGCAGCTTTGGCAACATAACTAAACTACTATGATATGCAGGTGGAGATGTTGACCTCATAATCCATATCCATATATCCCCTCTTGGGCTGCATACGGTTGTGCTGCTTCTGTTTCAATGTCTTTTTGTTCTCCTTCTGAACGTATGCCTGCATAAACATTTAGAAAATCAATTGGGCTTTCCTTTTTTGTGCAGGCAAGTTTCCGAAATTTATTGGCTTGCCAAAGGACTGCGCCAACATGCAACGTTTCCCATGATAGAACAGACACTGACACTAGCTTACAAATATAACACTGGATTTACCAGCCAATTATCAGCCAATAAACCCGAATAATAGCTTCACTGAAACCAACACAAACACTCCATGTATGTTCCTCAACTCCAAGAAAGTAAGTTACCTGTCTTATTTTTTCAATTCCAGTTGCAGCAATGAAGTCAGGAAGCTGGAACGGCTGTTTTTGAAAACCCCTCTTGCCCTGAAACAGCAACATCATGCATGAATCCAAAAATATGAACAGAGAAATATGTGAATATGGCAGTCCTAGTCCTAGATGCTATCTTGAGTTTAGAATTTTGTAGTCTTCAAGAAAAAGAGAACAGTTCGAGAAGTACGATTCTGATTCTAATGCACGGAATATCAAAAGCCATGGACTCTAGTTGGACTCTAATCTGTACAGCAGAAGGGGCATCAAATGAATGCCCACAAGATTCAACTATCCTAAATACCCCCACCAGAAAAAAAAACCTATCCTATATACACTACAGAAACCATTCAAGTAGTACAACACCATTTCCAGCCTCCTCGATTGTTACAACAGTCCCTGCAAGAATTACAAATCCATATAAGAAAGGTGAAAGATGTTGGATATTATGGGCATGTTTGGTTTGTTGCCCCAGATACCCAAGCCACAAT